CCTTCTATCACATAGCCAGCCCTCTCCTTTTGCAAACAGAATTTTAATTTTTGCTTTGATGTAATCAATTTCTATTTTCTAATTACCAAATAATTTAGGGGTATGGAAAAGAGAAAAATAATATGAAAAAAGATGGTAATCTCTCTGCATAGAATTAACATGAACCTCATTGTATTCTCTTCCTGGTTTCTTTGCATATTTAATAGATAAAATGTTTGGTTTTCTCACATTTTGAATCACTCACCTTTTGTTATGCGTCTTGTCCACCCTCATTTAATCGTGTAACTATTTCACAGAATAGGGTTTCTCAAAATTGCACAGCTCTCACTTAAATATCTGCTGTCAAGCATCTGTAGTATACTAATTACTGATTACCTAGACAGTATCCTTGCAAGCATTTTCATTCATAAATCCTTGATTTTTTTAGATTAAAGAGAGGTGGAATTTGTGGCTGAAAAAGTAAGTAGATAATTTAAGTATGTATACACACACACACACACAGAGCTATCCCCAGAAGTCAAGGACTGTGAGAGAAAATATCTGTATCTCTATCCATATCTGTATCCGTCTCTCTAGCTATCTACATCTTTCTCCCTCTCTATATGTACACACATATAGATATTATATATATAGGTTATATGCATACCGATGTCTTGGGAATGCATAATTCAATCATTTTAGGTTGGACACCATTTGCAGTCCCCATCAAAGTTCCCTCCAGTTTGCTCCCACATCTTCGTATCCAAGTCCCCAAATTCTGCCTTTTGTCTCTGTACTGGTTCACCGTCCTCAGCCAAGTCCCCAGAATCTTGGCATATATTCTCCACTGCTCGGTGCACCCACCATATCCTGGGGGAAATCACTTGTACACGGACATCTCCTGTGGCTGTATGGAACACTCCTGTAGCCAGGGCTTGGGAGGTGGAGGTCTATTACTTGGGAGTTCCTGGCCCCTGGCCCTTGCCTGCATGATTCTTCTTTTTTCTAATGAGCCCCAAATCATGTGTGTGTGTGCCCGGTATAACGCCCGCCTCTGATATTTGTGAACAAATATCCCAACCTCTCAACTCAACAAACCTGTGCCAAGATCTCAGTGCTAGGTTTGATCACCTCAAATCTATCTTTTCTAAAGTGGTCATCTAATCTTTTCTAAAGGTTTTCTTATTCAGTCTCTTTTTATCCACATAAAAGCCATAGGGCATTTGGTGGGAGACAATGTTATGCGTTAATTAGCAGAGGAGAATCCATACAGGGAAGGGTGGGACCTTAAATAGCACACACAACAAGTCAAAGGAAAATGAAGACTGTCCTCCACTCCTTACCTGTTGATGAACGCGGGTGCATCAGATAAAGACTCTAGACTTGGGTCTGTTGAGGGTGGCCAGAGCTGCAACCCAGGCACACAATGTCCCTCCTAGCTTAGCAGGAGATACTGGTCACATCAAAGAAAGTCCAGGACTTCTGGCCGAGTGAGTATCAAAGGAAGGTCTGTAATGTGACTGGTACGTTCCTGAGTGGAAATTAAGGATTGGCCACAACCAAAAATCACTATTAAGTTCTAGGGCTTTGAACTTTGTTTTTCTCCTCTTCTGTCCCCTGTTTCAGGCCACACCCCCTGTCCCCCCACCTCCCCAAGAAGAGACCAGATAAAAGAGCTGTCAGCCTGTTACTGCAGACACTCAACTCAGACACCTCCAGAGGTAGGTCGGGGTGGGGGTCATGAGGCGTGAGCTATTACTTGTGGCTTGACTGGATGAGTTCCCTGCCCGGGTGGTGTGAGTATTATTCCCATGAGATAAGGATTATTGCCTGTTTCTCAAAGAAGAAAACAGAGAGAGAGATGGCATGAATTGTCTGAAGTGTCATAGGTAAAAAGGGGTAAAAGATATCAGCGTTCCCCAAAAAAGAGATACCAGCATTCCTGAGTCTAAATCCCCCACTCTCTCCTTTATCATCTGGAAAGCCCAGGATCCTGAATTTGGGAGAGAGGGGCAGTTCTTCCATGTCTTTGTGATGCCTGGCGACCTCTTCATTGTCCCACACCCTGTCTCAGGATGGCCAAAGAATTCACCCAGAAGTCTGTACGTGAGCGGTACCCAGCCTGGGCACGATGAGGTTTTTCTTTCCTAGGATCATTTAGGACACCAGAGGTGTGCAAAGAAGGGGGTGGGGCATCCCCAGGATCCTGAACACCCTTTAGGGGCAAGTCAGAATCTCTGAAACTGGACTAAGAGTGAGGCCTTTTAAATGAATAGATCTCCAAGCTCTGGAAAACTTGGGCCTAGAGTGCTATTTTTAAATACAAATAGACAACTTCATAGAACCCATATGCTTTGGATTTATTGTGTTTCTGTCCCTGAGTGCCAGTCTTCCTCCTTCTTTGTGCAAAAGGCAGGTGTCAGGAATCCAGAGGCCCATCTGGGCCTGTGCCCGCCTTCACCGTTACCTTACTCCCCACCTGTAAGTGGAGAGCAGAGTATCGCCTGCGTTACACTTCTGTCTTGCTATGTGCTGCTCCCTGCAGGGGATCAGAAGAACACTCTGAGCCAGGCTCCAGGACTGACTCCTACCGCTGCTGGCTGGCTTTCCTGCGCAAAAAGTGTGAGTGATTTCCAGGATTCCTGGAAGCCCACTGCGCTCAAAGACAGTTCTCCTTTGGCTTGGAGCTTCACCAATTAAGTTGTATCCTTTGGTATAAACGTTGCCCATCGGTCAATGAGTCTCAATATGTTAACTTAGCAATTTTCCTTCACCAAGCCTGGCTGAAGCAAGCTGGTAAGGATGTCGGTTCTGACTAGAGAAGGTTGGAGACCAGACATAAGCATCCAAGAGGGAATCCCCACCCCCACCAAATATCTGATCTTCTACATTTCAAGGGCTTCTCTCCTCCTTTTCTGTCTCCCCATAATCTCCGTCTCTTACTCTTGTTTCTCCTCAAAGTCTCCTAAATCCAGTTTGCCTCAAGGTCAGTGTATCTAGTGACTGACATGCCTACAACTTGCATTTTTCCAACTTCCAAATCGCACATCTTCTGAGAGGAGAATGACTTTTCAAAGATCCCTTTGAAAAAATTCTATACCTTTTAAATTATCTCTAGTGCTACACTTGCTTTTGAGCAAAGGGATTCTGTGTGATTCATTTTAGAGGAGAGTTGTTCAGTGGAGTTTACTGTGATGATGGAAGTATTCTATGTCTGGCCTGTCCAATAGGATAGCCAATAGCTACATGTGACTATTGAATGCTTGAGATAAATAGAAACTAAACTTTTTAATATTTTAATTGAAGTATAGTTGATTTATAACACTGTGTTGGTTTCAGGGGTACAGCATAGTTTTTTTTGCAGATTATATTCCATTATAGGTTATTACAAGATATTGAGTATAATTCCCTGTGCTGTACAGTAAATCCTTCTTGCTTATCTTGAACTTTAAGTTAACTAATTTAAATAGTCGCATGTGCCTAGTGGCTACCATATTGGACTGTGTAGAGGAGTCTCTTCTGCTGGACTGAAAACTTTTGAACACATAAAAACTTTCAGGGAGAGAGACAATTCTCTACCTTGTTGCTATGCAATTCATAATATCAGAATTTTACCCTTTCTTGGGCTTTTTTATTTGTCTTCCAGTTTGGTTTCAGGAGGGGAAGGCAGCAGATAAAGGACGAAGGAGGCAGAGAGGGCCCGGACTTCTTGAGGGTAATTAAGGTTCCTCCTCCCATGCCCCAGCTCCCCTCATCCCTCAATTGCCAGTTGTCAGCAGGCTATTTCATCCTTTTTCTGCTTCATTGTTTCCTCCTGGGTAGTAGAGGGAGGAAGGACCAACAAGAGAGGGTGGGGAAGTTCTTACACAGTAGATATTATCATAAACTGGCCTTGTGCTTCGGGTCCTCCTTCATGGGGGGCTTTCAGGATTCATTGGAGACACAAAATGGCATCAGGCCATTTATGACTGAGATACTTCTCAAACTGTAGCCCTCTTCTCTGCTACTCCAGGTCACTCTAGCCCAATTCCACACCCTTAAGAGTCTTCTCAAACACAAGTCTACGGTGCCCCCAGAAACTTCCGGGGACACACAGTAAGCTCTGAGTAGTAGCTGCAGAGTAGTATCTCCCGACTGGGAAATGGAAGACAGCATCTCTACCTCCCCAGGCAAAGATTTTGCCCAAGATCTCCTTCAAAATCCTCTCTTATGACTCCTTCAACTTTGGAGCATCTATGGAGGTGAAAGTTTTAAAAGTCTTCTGAAGTTGTTGGTCGACAACTTTTCTCAAGTCCTGCTGAGTAATCTGTCTCATCCACTCCCTCTGGAATCACTCTGGTACTCCTTGTCTTCAGGTCTCTACAGAAACTTCCATTATAGCATCCTGTTACCTATGTTCTAAAATAAAAAATCAGGGCACTTCATGTGTTCTGTTATTCCAACTCATAAAAATAATGATTACAACATAGAAGTATGCACATCTGCTGGTTATCTCTGGATAGTGGAATTACTAATGCTTATCTGTCTCCTCTTTGGATTTTTTTTTTAATGATGCAACCTGAAGATTTATTGCTTTTTGATCAGAAAAAGCAATGCGTTTTTAAAAGAAAGAATTTTGTGAAGGAAGGGGTACCTAGTGTGAGGTGGGGAAGAAGCCGGGGAAGCCAATGGCTAGCTTGATGTGTTGTTAGGTGCCAGCAGGTAGAAAGGAAAAGTAGGAGGAAGAATAACGCAGTATTCACAAGCACTGTCTCTTTCTGTCCTACCCTATTCTCCTTAATTCGTATTCTGCCTCTAGCAGCATCGGGAAGACCTGCCTTCTGCCAAAACTTAACCCAAACACACGTAGAAACTACCATGAAGCGCTGGGCTCTCCTACTCATTGTGCTCATCTATGGGCTTCAGATGCTCCTGCCTGTGCTGGGAGGCGTCAGGCACAGACCCTTCTGTAGGTGGTGTGGTAAGGGAGGAGGGTACTCAGCCCAGGCCTGGGTTGTCTGGCATAACCGATTCAGGGCCCCCATTTCTAGGATGACCCTTTAAAGAACCAGAACCCTCCTTAAAGCAGAGACATCCAAGAAAGGTCAGGTTGGATGTTCCCGATCTGGCGTCTCTTTAAGTTTCCTCTCCCAGCTCAGAAAGCAATAGTGTATACCCACTATATAAAGGGAGGGTTGCTTTTGCCCACATTCCGTAGGCTAGCAGGAAATATTTGGCGATGTCAGACCACCTTGGGTAGAGGAAACACCAACCCAGAGCTTCCCTCTGAACCCGTATTTTCAGAATCTCTGTGCCTGATCTGAGTGAGCCTTCATTGACTATCAAAAGGGTAGTATTTAACACATTCATTTAGTTTGAGGGGAAGAATCTTTCAGAATCTGAAAAAATGGAAAAGACAAAAAAAGGGTCCTTATGAGTCAAAGTTTGGGGTCATATGATAAGACAATGGGATAACGAAGGGGCCTCAAGGGAGGGTTCTGGGCCAGTGAAGGACATGGAATCTGGGGAGAGGCTGAGTGCTTAGGTGGTATCATCAGGGAGGTGAATGGAGAGAGGGAAAAGTAGGTTCCTGTTCTTCCATGACTCAGTTTTCCATAGGAAAATTGGGTGTGGACTTTGGGGCTGAAGAATCTTGTAGGCCCTGAAATCTAAAGTTATATGGGAAGAGACTTGGTGAAGCAGTGTCATACATGATGAGGTTGTCCTAGGTCCTAGCTTTAGGGGATTTGGAGAGAACCCATGTGGAGAGAGGGAAGTCACATCATATAAGGATGGTCTTCAGTGAAAAGCCACTGGCTAGAATTCACAGAAGGGATTCCCTTGAAAAGCAGAGAAAGACTTTGTGGCTGAGAGCTCAGGCTAGAGAGCTCAGGGATTTTTCAGCTTGAGGAGGGTTTCTCCTCCAAGTTGTGGGTAGATGGACACTGCCAACTTCTACCATCTCAATTCCAGCTGAACTAAGAGATACTGAGCAGTGCTGGATACAGCCTCCATCATTAAAGTATTGTGTAAAAAGATGCACTAAATTACAGGCCTGTTCCTTTCCAAATCATACATGCTGCTGGACCTTCTGTGGAGACATCTGCTTGGACAATGAGTGAGTTGGTTGGGGTGGGAAGGTTGGGCCTGTGTATGCTTCCTCATTCCTCCTCATCCTCATTCAGAAGCTATGACCTAGAACAGAAGACGTAATCGCCCAAATCCTGGTCAAAGAAATAGGCACCCTCCTACCTCCACACCTAGGCTGCCACTCACTGCAAAATAAGCCAAGTTACCAGCATGGGGGCCTCCACATTTTTTTTCACTTTCATTCAGTTCCCCCCAAACATCATGCATCAGTTGGTTCATCCCTCCCTTGTCCAAGGCCCTAGTTATTGCCTCCTCAGTCTGGCCTCCCCACTGGCCCCTTATCTCAGCCGGGTCCAAGGAGACCTGGTCTCTACCTGTCTGCTCAGTTGGCAAACCTCTCAGAAGAAATTGCTTAGAAGTGGTAAATCCTGATCTTGCAGGAAGAGTCTCTGTTCCTATTAACTGGGGCTAAGGGTTCTCTTAAGTTCGGGAATGGATGCCCCGCCAGGGCTCCCTAACTTTTAACCACTTAAATTTTCTCTTCCAGAGAACCCTTTAAATTCATGCTAAAACCCTAGATTCTAGCTGACCCACCACTAGCGTGGGCTGGAGGTTGAGTCTGTGGTCTAAGAAGAGTGCTGCCCGGTTCCCTGTTGGGATATCCACTTGCTCCAGCTGAGACCTCTCTGTTTGTGCCTTGACCTCTCTATCCTGAGAAGGCTCAAGTCTTTGCCAAATAAACTGATCTGCCAACCTGAGGGCTCTGTATTTTTTGGCCCTTCATCCCTGTGACTTCATTCCTCCCATTACAATTCCCAGTAGCCCACACAGGTGTTCCCATCCCACCATGGGCACAGGCACCCAACTCCGCCTTCAGGTTAGACTTCTGTATTAGGTACGCTAATGGCTGTAGCAAAAAATACAGAGATTTATTTAAAAAAAAAACTCATGGGGTTAGCATGATGAGGGTTTATCCTTATTCACAATACATTTCCTCACAATACATTTCAGTGAACAGCCACCCATACATTGAGTCAAGGACCCTGGCTCCTTCTGTTTACAGCTCCACCATCTCCCAGGGCCTCCTCTGAATCCAGCCAGCAGATGGAAGAAGAAGGGTATATGGAGACTTGTATAGAAGGTTTTTAAGGGCCAGGCCTGGAAGTGGAGTTTATTATTTCTCTCCACATCCTATTTGCCATAATGTAGTCATTGGTCCTACCTACTTGCAAAGAAGACTAAGAAATACAGCCTAGCTGAATGTCCGATAAGAACAGAAAAAAAGGATTTGGTGAACACACGGAAGACTCTGCCCTGCCTATTTATGCAAATCCAGACTTCTTAAGTAAGATCCAAGACCCTGGTCTCCATATCACTCTGTCCCAGGGAACAAGAAGCTGAAACTCTTGTCATCAGAGAAAGCGTTCCTGCCCTCCCTCAGGGTGGCTACTCCGAGCTTCAGAATATTCCTCATTCTGCCATCCCTAGTGTCCTCTTATTCCTGCCAGGTCAGTTTTGCCCGCCTGGCAGTTTTACCTGGGTAACATTCCTCACATCCTGAGATTTCAGGTAACACAAGGCAGGCTTTCCTGCCCCTATTGTTGCCCTAAATTATATCTGAATTTCCAGCATTTGTCATCAGTATCTTGAAGATCATTCAGAACATATAACTCCTCCTGGATGAGGAGTACCTGCTATATATTAAGCCTTGTGCCTCTTCCCAGCCCAGGGGACAAGGTATTCCCACTTAGATGGATGAGTCAGTTTAACTGGATAGGTGAGTCACACCTGTCACCTTAGAGCCCGAGGAAAGGCTCGGGAATGTGAAATAGCATAGACCAGGGTCAGGCGAGGGACTAAGTCTTAATGGAACTGGTTAGTACCCAAGAGCCCAGAGTAATGAAAAGGGACAATGTTTCAGGAGTTTAGGTAAACATCCTTCCTGAGTGAGGCTTTGTCTTGACCTTTAGGGGCTTGGAGCTCTTTAGAATGAAAGTAATTATTTCTCTCTAACAAAGAAGTAGAGAAGAATAAAAGGTTAGGGACCTTTAAAGGAAGAACCAGGGAAGGAAAAAGGTGTCTTCTTGGGTATCCTATTTTGAGATTGTATCTCATCCATGCCTTCATCTGCCAAACCTCGATCACGAGAGGCAGAAAGGAGAGATGCTGCTTGGTCAATCTTAGAAAAAAGTAACTGACACAGAGAAGTGGAAGGACATCAAAGGGGTTAGAAAAATGTGGACATACACACACAGCACTGCTGCTCCACCAGCCACACAGATGCATACACAAAGGGTTTGGATTGTGTAGACTGACTGTCAACTGAGCATTGACACATTGTAATTATACTTCACATTGACTATACTTCAATTTTAAAAAAAGATAAATAAAAAATAATAGAAAAAATTAAGTATGCTTAAACAATAAAATGTGCTGGCATCATTTAGGAGTTAAGTAGAGTGAAAAAAATTGTTGGGAAATTCAGACTTAGAGTTGTTTCACTTCATAGTTTATGGTTGATTTTTAAAAACCTCTGATGATGTTTTAAATTTTAATTTACTTATATTTACTGATATTTTTAAATGGCTGTTAAAATACAGCAATGCACTTATATAATAAATATGTCTTACATTTTTTATTTGGGAGTTTAAAGTTATCTTTTCAAAAAGATAAATGACTCTAATCTCTATCTAGTTAATGGATAACTGATAATACCTCATGACTTTTCTTTGTACTTTTCTGTGTTTTTCAGATTGAGAAAATAGAAAATGATAAAGTTACAGAGTTCATTTCTGCAATGAGAGGAATATAAAGTATAAAAGAAGGAATCCTTTCATGTCACCCACAAGACGTCAATGCCCAGCCAAGGAGTGTGGACAGAGGAGAGGAGTAAGAACCAGATAGGGCAGTGAGACACCAGTCATATGTTCTCCCAGCTCCTTAACCTGAACCCCTTCTCTACCTTCAGCAGAAACTGGCCAAATCCTGGGTCTCCTGCCAGTCTTACCTTCAGATACCCAGGGTCAACTTCATGAAGTGGATGGGTCCCCAGTTAATGAGGCTCTCCTGCATGGCAATCCTGCTAGTTTCAGGAAGCTGGAAGGAAAGAATTGATTCTTCCACTGAATTTCCAACTAACAGTAAGTATTGTGGCTGGGCTTCAAAATGAAGAGGAGTAGACAACAGGAGGACTTTTCCCTTTCCCAGTTGCAGACAGAAAACAGGGAATGGCATATAGGAAAGCATTGGCTCCTCTTTAAAGCCAGGATGGAAGCTGAGAAAAGCTGAATGTTTCGTTCTCAAGCTTGAGGGGCTCCCGAAGCTACAAGTAATGCATGTTTTTTATGTGTTTATATGGTGTTTTTGTCCAGGAGGACACTTAGCGGTGCAAAGCTCCACAGGATCCAGAGCCTGGCTTCAGCTACCAGGAGTCTATGTCCTTAGGAGTTCCAAGGACCAGCACTAAACTGGAAAAGGGCTATTAATTATTTCTTGAAATATGTCCTTTGATTAGGGACCTGAGTATTTCAGAATATTGGACATAGAGTGCAGAAATAAAATGCATGCTTGATGGGTAGAAGTTTGGAACCATTGACATAAAACAATGGACTGCTGGAGGGTGGGGGTGGGTATAGCTCAGTGGTAGAGTGCATGCATGAAGTCCTGGGTTCAAACCCCAAAAACTCCATTAAAAAAAATTGAAATTGGCAGAATTCAGGGAAGAATAGTGAATGAATAACTAGTGATAAAGGTTTCTAGGGAAGAACTAGGCGTTGAGGGCCATTTCAGCCAGGGATGGAACAGTGGAGGACCCTGCTCTGGGACTCCGTACCTCTCACCCCATAAAATGAGAGTTGGGGACTAGAAGATCTCTTGGCCCTCTTTGTTCTGAGAACTGGGGTTCTGTGAGCTGAAATTTCACGGGGGTGACTTCCCGTTGACGATTTCCCGGTGGCTGCGTTCATTAGGGGGAGGTGGGAGGAGGATCTTGACTCCAGATCCCTGTGCAGGGAGAAAAAGAAGGGAAATCAGCGGAGTGAATTCTGGGGGCTTGGAGGGGCTGATAATAGTGAAGAAAACTCTTCTTCTGGGAGGCAGTGCTCATGTACTCCTTCTAAGTTGTACCTAAGCCAGGACTGAAACCTGCACCGAGATTCCCACCCATGAGCGGTGTGCTGTTGACGGCAAGCTTCGCAGAGAGTGTCAGCCCGGCCATCACTGCTGCGGTGCCTTCTGCGGAAAGATCTGTGTGCTTCTCAAGGGAAGTGGTAGGATCGAAGAAGCACCTTTTCCCTTGTCATTCAGTTCGCCAAGACTTGAACTCCCGAAATGTGGGAAGACAGAGAACAGGAGACGAAGCCCCGCCAGTCCCAATATCCAATCCACCCGAGGAACCCCTGCCTCTTCACCTGTCTCAGAGACCTCACTCTCCATATATAGACCTACCTGATTTACCCAAACTTCAGGGGGTCTGACATTCATGTCTCTTTGCTCATTGGACTTCAGATATCCTGGGAGAAGCCTTGTGTGGGGATTCCCTACACCACAGAAAACATCCTTGCCCCCAGGGTTTGGGGGGATCTGCTACACTTGAAAGAAATGTTTCTCTAGACTGTGTGGCTGCTGAGCACCTATATCTTCTCTCTTCCAGTGAGCAGCAGTCCTCACCACAAAATCAGCAACAAGGCCACTGCTGAGCCCACAAAGCACCAGTGGGAGCGGAGGGTACCTGGGAGACTTGGGAAGACTGCCACGTGACCCCCAGTAGGATGATCTTCTTGCCCCAGCTGTGGGCTCAAGGCATTGTCTCTCCTACCTGCCAACCCTCTTCCCTAAGCTATGCCATTATCGGTTTTAATTCCTTGGCAAATAAGTTGTGAAAGTAAGCCAGAGTGCTGTTTCTTCTTCTAAACTCAAGTACAGAGGCGTTTGGAGAAAGGGGTCTATATAATCATTTGTCATCAACTTGCTGAGTAAATTTGGGTAAGTTCAGTCACGTGTCTGTGCCGGTTTGTTCTCCTTTGCTAATTTTGGCAAACTATACTTATTTTTTTGCAAGTTTTAATGGATAGTGGTATACACAGACCAAAATGAAAAAGTTAGCAAATTAGAACATGCTAGGATCATAGAGCTTGATACCAAATTCATGATCTAACCTCTTCTGCAACTTCATCTGTTGCTGTTGGGGGCAAGGGGAGGATAGGGTATTAGCTTCCTGAAATACATCTGTGTCAGGGGCCAGAGATATGCTTAAAGGAGGGGGTCTGGTGGGGAATAGAGTTTGGGAGGGGCACTGTGCAGAAAGAGCATTAAGTGAGATGGACGATGGTGGACAGGTCCTTAGAGTTCCCCTGGACCAGCAGGGGATGATTGCCTAAGGCAGAAACGAAGAACTATCCCCTCCTGAACAATAAGAAAAAAGAAGCAGTTGAGAAAAATTTCTGGAACCACTTGGCAGATAGGACACTCTCATTCACCCCCAGGTGTTCTGGGAACACACTGGGACTTTGCACTTGATTGTCTTTCTTCACAGCCTGGAGTTAACCCACTCTGGAAGTGGGAGGTGATTAGCATTCAAAGGTGTGGGCTGGGAGTCCCCTGGGGGATCTCATTTTGGCTTTACTGGAAGTATTGGTCCAGGTAAACTGGCCAGTTTCATGGCCACAAGCATGATTGACCAGCAGACAATTTTAGCATACTTCTCCTGGTAACTGATAAAATAAGAAGACCAAAAAAAAAATCAACAAGGATATAGAATATTTGAACAACATAAATAAAAAAGTGACTAATCAACTATCAAAAAGAATTCTTCATCGCTGCGGAATATGCTTTCTTTCCCAGAGCACGTGGAACACCTAAAAATGTCTCAACGAATGTCAGTACATTGGAATCAGACTGACCACAGTGGAAATTCAAACTGACCACAGAAGTAAATAAAACAAAATAGCTAGAAAATTTTCCATGTGATTAAAAATTAAGCAAGGCAATTCTAAGAAACTGTGGACCAAAACGAAATCATGATAGGAAATAGAAAATATTTTGAACTGAAAAATGAAAACATGTCATATCAAAACATACAGATATAGAATGATATCAATAAAATAGTGCACTGTCCTCTGTCCCCCCAACAAGGAACAGCAATTAGATGGCTATCCGTGAAAAAAAAACAGCTCTGGAGCCCACTTAAAAAACTTCAGCAACACAGTGTAACAAAAAACCCTGAGAATAACCATCTAAGAAGAGAAGGAAGAATCATCCCACCCCCCAGGCTGGCATTGCTCAGCACCCCTCCCAGCTGGAAAGAGCTCCCATCCCCGGGAAGGGAAGAGCAGGGTGAACGACCACCTTCCCCAGCCCTTTGGGGCAACATACAAAGGTCCAGTTGGTTTCACCCCACTCAGACTGACAAAGCTGAGACACACAGAGACAGCTAGGAACAAAGAAGAACGCAGGGGCTGCCAAGAGCAGCCACATAGTCAGAGCGATCTTGGTAAATGGTGACCTCTCTGCAGACAAACCTAGCAGATTTCGCCAACAAAGAAACCAACGGCCAGCATGGCCACCACAGACCCCTGCAGGTGTCACTAGCTTTTGTCCTACAGCTATTCACATTCACTGGCACCAGCCACCTAAGTCCCTCCCTACTCCTTGCCTCCTGGCCCTCCCACCAGAGCCCAGAAACCACACGGGTAGCCAGTTCAAGGCTCTGTGGCTTCAAGGACTGCAGGATGCCAACCTAGACCCCCATGGCTGATGCCCACAGCAATGTGCACGCTTGTGGCTGGCTCCTCCAGCTGTGTACTTCCATGCCACCGGCCTGATGCTGCCCATCACAGGCCTCCACTGCAGGGTGCACACCCTAGGAGAAACCCTGAAGCCACAGGAGAATGTGCCCCTGCAGCTTCTTGTCATCCTAGATCAGGCTCTGTCTTCAGTCACAGACCTGCACCACTGCATGCACCTGCAGATAGCCCCTCCAGCTGTGCAACTGCACACCCTCCAGCCTGACCCCCATTACAGGCCTCCACTGCCATTGTTACCAAGGCTGTCACCCCAGAATCATGCCCCTGCCTTGCCCTCAGATACAAACCAATTACTCTTATCTAAGTTTCAGGAGGATGCTGCAATGAAAAAACAAACAAGAACTGGTTAAAACCAAACATGCCCTATATGGTAGAAGATTTGACTTCCAGTAGACCTTGAGCTTCATTATATGCTCATTGTAATACATTAGCATGCTAAATGGCACACCCACCAGCATCATGACAGTTGGCAATTGCTACGGCAACAACCAGAAAAGCTCATACAAGACTGAAAAGGAGAACCGTGTCTGTTCTTGGTCCAAACCACACCCCTGTTCTCAGAGAACTCATGGACGTCCCTCCCACTCTTTCCAATTCCCTCTCTATTACCTTGACCCTCTTATATATTTAGTGTCTCTGCCTGACTTGGGTTGAGAAGTTGATTTGAAAACCAGATTCCTGGTTCTCCATTCTTTGGCCATTGAATAAAGTTTGTGCTGTTTCAGTCTCAGCATAAGTTTTTTTATTGGCTGCATGAAACTGATCAGAAATAGAACCTCCCTGGCTGAGACCAGGGGTCTCAGCCTGGACTTGGACCCCAGTGCAGGTCCAGTCGACAAGTTCGGTAACACCATGTGCCTGTGGTAAGACCCAGCAGCCATGATAGTGCGTGCTGACAACCAGGACCCCTGCAGCTACCAGTGAGCCTAGAATTGGCCCCAGCCCTTGCTGCACGCTCTGGTCCCCACCACGACGTGTGTGTCTGCGACCAGCCCCTGCTCCTGCACAGACACCTGCAGCTGGCGCCTGAAGCCAAGTGTGTGCACACCAGCAGCTCTGGCTATCACCACTGCCTGCCCTGGTCCTTAACTGCTGGACCTGGAGGTCCAGCATTTACTTCATCTTGGAATTGGAGTCTGTACATAGTCTTTTCCTACATGAGTTAATATTTTCCTTTTCCTTCATATGCTACGTAATTTTGGATTATATTTTGAACATTTTGAAAATTGTTTTATGAGACTCTGGGTCTTGTTTATATCCAATTGAGATGGTTGAGATTTTGTTTTCAAAGGTCATTGAAATGGTTAGGTTCAGACTAAAAAGTTCAGTCTATCTTCTGTGCGTTGTGGTTCCAAGGTCAGTTCAGTTTCTAAAGCTTTGCAGTTCATTCAGTAACTTCCCTGCATAGGCACCATCTAGTGGCTAGTCTGGGACTTAGATGGTGGTGTGTCAGTTTATTTCTCAAAGTATGTCAAGTAGTATTACCTACATGCACACACAGCTTGGAGGTGAACCTAGAAGTAAATAAACAACTTTATGGGTTTGCTTTCCTGAGTTCCTTTCCCTGTAGTCTCCCCAGTACCTTCTGTTTCTCCAAGGCTCCAAAAAGCTGGGGCTTTGGTTACTCTGCTCTGCTTAGCACTTTTACAACCTCATCCACATGCAGGGCCAAGTGATAGAAGAACAAAGAGAGAAAAGAAATAGGAGGCAATGGAGGTCTACCCGCTCTCCTAGAATTACAGCTGCACCGGACAGAGGAAGGTTTCCCCTCCTCAGTGTTTTGGCTCCTTCCAACTCCCATACCAGTGGCAGCCATCACTACCATAGAATTTCTTAGGGGCCAAGGTGCAGAGTAACAAAGAAAAGAAAGAGAAAAACAACCCAGGGGATTTCTGCACCCCTTCTGAACATTACACGTTCCCTTTCCCAGGCATCAAGCCAAAACCAGTGGGTTTCTTCTGAAGCTTCGTCTGCACCCTAGTGTTATTTCCAGGTTGGCCTGCTATTACTTACTTCCCAGTTTGTACAGCTGTATTCAGTGGGTGAGAAGAGGAACCAGAACCAGGAAATAGTTTTTAAGCCCTGGAAATGTGCTCATCTTTCCTTCTAGTCGGCTTTTAGCTGTTAATCTAATTTGGAGCGGGGCTGAGCGTGCAGTCTTGCAGTTATTGATTTGTTGTCACTGTGGTTAACTTGCTGCACCCCAAACTTCAAATTCCATCCTCAGAACAGAAATAGTACCTTTGTTTAGGATGGAGCTGGGTTTACCAGAAGATTTATTCCCCCCCCCCCCAAGGACTGCTCCAATTTCAGCTTTGTGCTCTGTCTCTGAGAATGACTTTCTTGAAAGTTACTTATTACTCAGTGATTTTAGGCAGGTGGGGCAGAAGGGGACATGGTTGGGGTCCATTCTCTGTTGTTCTGATTGAGCCTCAGTCTTAGATGCAATGTCCCTGGGTCTCAGGGAAGGGGTCTTCCCACCCTTAGGACAAAGTTCTGAATCTGGCGAGTGTTTCTGCACCTCCCGCAGCTTGCAATGAGAGTTCACTTGTACCCTACGGCAACAGTGCTGCTCCTCGCTCCCAAGATTAAAGCTTTTGCTCAGTAAGAAAGAAAGGAAAGACTCCAGGTGGAATTTCTTGCCCCTTCCACGGTGGCTGCTGCCTTCTCTCCCCTCTCCAGTTCTGCCTCACAGAAGAGACTTTATCAGAACTCTGAAAACCTTTTCTATGAGGACCCAGTGGGATTCCTGGAGAAAAAGTCTACAAGAGGGTGTGGATTCTCCTGTTTTTGCCGCTCCAGGGACTTCGCTATCTTCAGCCAATGCACTCTCAGCCTCCAGCCATGTGCCAAACCCATAGCTGAACCCTTCTTACTGGTGCCTGGCTGCCTGCCTCCCAGGTAATCAATGCTCGCTACCTGTCTCTCCCTGCAGGTGCCTGTCTTTCCTTAGATTCTGGACTGGTTGATTGCCCTGTGATCTCAGCACTCTGGTGAGTTCAAGAAAAGTTGTCCAGCTTTTTTTCCATGTAAGTTTGGGAGGTTAATTCGTCTCTTTACATTTCTGAGCAGAAACCAAAAGTCACTTTCCTTTTATTATTATTGTTTACAATTGTGGTAAAATACACTTATAAAGTGTATCTACGCATACACAAACATGAAGTTTACCATCCTAACTATTCTTAACTACACA